GGGGGGGAGGCAATGCGGTGTTGCTCTCGCCGTGCGGAGCCCCGCGCCCTGCCGCCTTTCGAGGCTGGGCGCGTCAGGGCGCGTGCGCGCACGGCCCCCCACCCGGCCCGACACATCCGCACCCGAGCGCGCCGGCGCAACGCCCCCGGGCACAGGGCGCGATCTGCCCGGCCCCGCGCCGTTCTCGGCTCCCCCCCCGCCCCCCCCCACGCAGCAGGATGTTGTGTATGGCGGGGAAGGCGGCCCCCGATCGGGGCGCGGACGCGCCGAACAGTTGGCAGCTCGGTGTGTATATATACTCCCCCCCCCCGGCACAAACACACTCAAAGGGGATGGCGCCGCGGCGGAGGGAGAGAGGGGGCAAGGCGCGCGCACGCGCACGGACACACAAACACACAGGCACAGAAAGGGCATCTTTGCCGGGGGTTATTTTGCTTTTTTTGTGGCCAGAGGAAGGAGGGAGGCGCGACCACGGCATCCCCCCCGGCTCCCCCCCCCCCCATTGGGGAGGGCACACGACGGGGCAGATGCGCCTGCCCGCCGGAGGGGCATGCAAGAAGGGTCAGCCGTCGAAGTCCCCGTCGAAGCCGTACACCCCGGCCAGGCGGAAGAGCGGGTAGTAGTGCTTGCGCTCGATCTGCGAGCACCAGTTCCAGGTGCTGGTCAGGCGGCCGTCGACACAGGACCCGGCGTCGAAGAAGTTGTCGGCGCCGGCCCCGTCGAAGGCGTGGCGGAAGAAGTCCGTCAGGATGGTCCGGGTGGCATCCTGCACGGAGCCGAAGTTGTGCACGACGAAGGCCTCCAGCGGCTTGTTGCTGGCGCAGTTGAACTCCACATAGCGCAGGGTGGTGACCAGCGGCCCGAGGATGCGGGGGATCTGCATGTACTTGTCGATGAAGTGCAGGGCATTGGGCACATTGTGGTCGCCCAGGTGCACCACCGACGAGCCGATCCACTGGTGCGACAGGCGCGACTGGACCTTGTGAATGATGGTCTGAATGGCGCGGTACAGGCGCGGGGCGGGCTGCACCCGCTGCACCCCCTGGCCGGTGTTCTGCAGCCGGTAGGGCCGGACCTTCATGTCCAGCAGGTCCTCCTCGGCCATCATCCACAGCTGGTACATGTGGTGGAGGATCTCCCGCCAGAGGGTCAGCGACTGCAGGACAAAGTGGAACTGCTGGGTGTGCGAGTGCGACAGCCGGGCCTGGTTCTCCCCGGCCCGGATGGCCAGCGAGAACCGGTCCTGCAGCGGGGCGCTCGGATTGAAGTTGGTGTTCAGGTAGGTGATCATCATGTCCACCAGGTCACGGCTGTACGTGAGGAAGGCGTTGTGGTCGCCGAGTGAGAGGATGCAGAGCTCGATCTGGGTTGGTGTGGTGTGTGGGGTTGGGGGGGGGCCGGGGGAGGAGGAAGTAAAGCGAGGCGAAGTGAGGGGAAGTGAGGGGAAGTGAGGGGAAGTGAGGGGAAGTGAGGGGAAGTGAGGGGAAGTGAGGCAAGGTAAGACAAGGCAAGGCAGGACAAGACAAGACAAGGCAAGGCAAGGCAAGGCAAGACAAGGAAAAAAAGACAAGGCAAAGCGAAGCAAAATAAAACAAGGAAGGGCAACGGAAAAAAAGACAAGGCAAAGCGAAGCAAAATAAAACAAGGAAGGGCAAGGGAAAAAAAGACAAGGAAAAAAGACCAAACACGGAGGAGAGCCAGATCAAAAATCGGAGGACAGCCAGGTCAGAGCACGGAGGTCAAAAGGCGGGACAGGAGGCACATGGCATGCCCGGGGGAAAGGGGAGCGATGGCAGGGAGGGAGACCCGGGCGGCGGCCGCGGCGATGGTCGCACCTCCTCCGGGCTGATCTCCTCGTTGGCGTGCTTGCGGCTCAGGTCGGCGATGGCCCGACGCTTGAGGGCCACATCGCGATCGATCTCGGCCCGGGTGAGCGACGAGTAGGGGGAGATCACCTGGATGGCGTAAATGAGCAGCGGGTCCTCCAGCAGGGCCAGCGCCCCGAAGGCCTCCAGGTACGAGTGCACCGTCTTGATGGGCGCCACCAGGGAGAAGTCCAGGGCGTCGGCCACCTCCGGCAGGCTGGAATCCTGCAGCAGCAGCATCATGGTCCCGTAGGAGGTGCGCATGCGGTCGGGGTTCATGATCTTGAAGCGCCGGGCCACCTCGAAGGCCGCCTCGAAGTAGGGGGCGCGCTCCTTGAAGTCCAGGTCCCGGGCCAGGCGCGCGGCGTACTTGTAATCCGTCGACACGGCCAGGCTCAGGAGGATGGCGCACACGGCATTGATCTGGACGGATGGCCGGCCGGCCGGCAGGGGACCACGAGGGCGGGCAGGGCAGCGGCCGAGGTTAGACCGGGGGGAGGGGCGGCGCAGGGAAGGGGGCAAGCAGGGGCGCCGGCAGGGGCGCCGGCAGGGGCGCCGGCAGGGGCGCCGGCATGCGCGGCCCGCCAGGCCAAGGCCATCGGCACAGGGAGCGCCCCCCAGGGGGGCGGGGGGACCGAGGCACGTACACTGCGCTTGATGCGGCTGACCTTGCGCGTGGGGTCGTCCGCCTTGTCGGCGTAGTTGCTCACATGGAAGGTGCTCTCCACCAGGCGCAGGAAGTCCCGCTCTTCGTCATTCAGCCGGACGGGCACGAACTTGGCGCGTTCCATGAGCTCGCGCAGCTCGCCGGTGCTGGCGGCCACCGACCGGGCCAGGGCCTCGACATTGCGCAAGTCGGCCGGCTCGGCCGGGGCGGCCCCCCCGGGGACACCGTCCGGCGAGAGGGACGGCCGGCCGCTGGCCGGCTGCGACCCGGCCCCGGAGGACTGCGAGAAGGAGGCCCGGCCGCCGGTGGGGGTGCCCGGCCGGTCGGACGGCGCCGCACCCGGGTCCGGCAAGTTTTCCACCCCCATGCCATTGATGGACTCCATGGTCAGCTGGCCGTTGAGGAGCTGGCGCCAGGTGTGCAGGCGCCGGCGCCCGGACCGGTGGACAACCTCGAAGCAGGCATTGCAGAAGGACTCCTTGCACACGACGCAATAGACCGACGAGGGCCCGGCACAGTCGATGCAGGTGTGCAGCTCCGGGCCGCCGGGGCCGGGGCCGCTTCCGCCGGCCGACGGCGGCCCCGGGGCCAGGTACGTGGACAGGGGGCTGGCATCGGCCGCCGGGCCGGCCGGCGCCGCCCCCCCGGCGGGGTCCGGCCCGAAGAGGTGGGCGTCGGCTTGCGACGGCCGCCCCGGCCGGCGGAAGGGGCGCCCGGCCCGCGCCGGCCCGCGCGAGGAGTCGCCACTCTCGGAGTCCGAGTCATCCGGCCCCGGGGCCGGGGCCGGCGCCGCCCCGAGGAAGGACCCGATGTAGCTGAAGAGCGAGGCCAGCACCCCGGCCGGCGGGTCGGGCAGCGGGTCGGACGAGCTCAAGTCCGAGGCCGACAGCAGCGGCCGCGGGGAGATCGACCGCACGGAGGAGGTCGACGACCGGGAGTTGAAGGAGGCCGTGGAGTTGGACGGCGAGGGCGACCGGCGCATGAGTCCGGACGACCGGGGCTGCAGGTCGCCGGCCATGCCGCCGAGGGGGGCCGCCGTGCCGAAGGGGCCCGCCGGCGGGACGGTCAGCGACTGCGACCGGGGCCGGCTGCTGTCGCCGAGGTGCGCGCGCCCCGGGGGCGGGGGGCCTTCGAGCCCGGACATGCTGGCGGGGGCGAGGGGGGGAGGTGCAGGGGGGCGAGGGGG